GCTGAGGGGTGCTGCTTTGGACAGAGTGGACGCGCTGGCGGAATGCTTCCGATGTGCTTTGGCGGCGGGTGATGGAATCGGGGGACGGACGCTCCTCGGGCGTCACTCCCGTGCGCTTTGCACGGAAAAAGCGCGGGCACCGCCGGCAGGCCAGCTCACATGGATGGTCTCAAAGCAGCGCCGCGCGGCGCGGCGGCGTGCGGGCTTCTCAGCTGCACGGCGCGACCCCCTGCACCGCGGCTCGCCCCTGCCTGCGCCGCGCCCCCCTGCAGCATCCGGGTCGGAGCCGCAAGCGGCCCCATCCCTCCTTGCCGCAAAGCGGCGCGCCCTCTCGAACAGCCCCTGCCCACCCCTCCCTCAAACCACCCGCCCGTCCTGGCAACGCGCCATGAAATCAATCAAACCATCAACGCTCCAGGACATCTTATACCAGACCGTCCGCGACCGCGACCACACGGGCACGACCAAGATCCAGCTCGGGGACGCGACCTTCATGGACCCCGCACAGGCCCGCCGCGCCGGCGCCGAGCGCGCGCGCCGCGCGAGCGCCCCCAGCCTGCCCTACCACGGCGCCCCTTGCGACGCCGGCGACGCGGAGGAGGCGGCGGAGGGTGCGGCTGCTGCGGCGGCGGCGGCTGCGGGTGTGATCTTGGCGGCGTGGAAGCCGGACAGTAGCTGGGAGGAGGAGCAACTCGTGAGGATCTATGCTATCCACGGGGCGCTGGAGCCGCGGCACGTGGTGTACGAGCACATAGAGGTGGGGGTCCGGCGGGTGCAAGTCGAGCGGGCGGCCAGCACGATCTGATCTGGTCTGGCCTGGGTGTCGGGGCGCGTAGGGCGGCGCGACCGCCGAGCCGGGCGCAAGTGTGCCTGCCGCGGTGGTGCCTCCGTGATGCTTTACTCCTCGGGCTCGGACCTGGGAGTCATACCACACCCCTTCCTGTGGAAAGCTCTTCCTTCTCATGCCCCCCAAACTCGCCAACTCCCAACCCATCTTTTTGCATCCTCCCCTCCCAAACAACAGCCCCACCCACTCCACCCCACCCCCCCACCCCCAGGTGCTGGTCCACCCCATCACAGTCCGCCTCAACGCGGCGCTCGCGTCCGCCCTCCAGGACTACTTCCAGCTCAGGGACGAGGACGCGCGCCTCGCGAGGCAGTCCGAGTATTCGCGGTCCATCCTGCCGCCAAAGCCCGCCGGCGCGGGCGCGGCGGCGCCGGGGGGCGGCGCCGGCGGCGGCGGCAGCGCAAGCGGCACGCAGGACGGCGGCGGCGAGGTGCTTGGGAGGAGGAGGAGCGGCGACGCGCTCCCGTCCCCGGGCGGCGGGAGCGGCAGCGCCGGCGGCGGCGGCGGCGGCGGTGGCGGCGTGGCGAGCCGGCGGCCGTTATTCATGCGGAGGCAGGCGGCGCTGGCGGGGCTCTCCGACCC